CAGGGATGGGGCAGCCACAGCTTCTCTGGGCAACCTGGGCCAGGCTCTCATACGAAGAATTTCCTCCTCATGTCTAAACTACAGCTCCCCTCTTACAGGTTTAATCCATCCCCCCTCATCCCTGCCCTTGTCCCAAGCCCCTCCCCAGCTTTCCTGGAGCCCCTTCAGGCACTGGAAGCTGCTCTAAGGTCTCTCTGGAGCCTTCTCTTCTCCAGGCTCAACACCCCAACTCTCCCAGCCTGGCTCCAGAGCAGAGCTGCTCCAGCCCTGGGATCATCTCTGTGGCCTCCTCTGGACTCTCCAACAGCTCCATGTCCTCCCTGTGCTGGGGACCCCAGCCCTGGCCCCAGCCCTGCAGGGGGTCTCAGCAGAGCAGAGGGGACAATCCCCTCCCTGGCCCTGCTGCCCACGCTGCTGGGGATGCAGCCCAGGACATGGGTGGGTTCTGGGCTCCACCACATGGTGCTGGTTTGTGTTGAGCTTCTCATCACCCAACACCCCCAAGTCCTTTTCCTTCAGACTGCTTTCAAACCGTTCTCCACCCAGCCTCTATTTGTGTTTGGAATTGGCCCAACCCAGGTGCAGGACCTTGTGCTTGACCTGACTGAGCTCAGTGGGTTCTGTTAACATCATTCTGGCAGTGGCATGTCCCCCCCCTGCACATGTCAGTGCTGTGTGGGGGCACTGACACCTTTGAATTTAGACTTTTAAAAATCTGGGCTGGGGTTTTTGGTGTGTACTGCAGACTGTGTTCCCTGAGGAGAGACGCCAACTGTGTTGTGGGTGTGCAGGCCCAGGGTGTGCTGAGCAGGGGCTCCCCTGTGCTTGCTGGAGGGTGACTTACTGGGAGTGTGCAGACCTCCTGCAGTTCAGCTCTACCCTTCTGCTGATAAAGGGCCCAGTTCTGAGTTGCTGTTGGATTGAAACTTAGCAAAATCCTATGTTTCTTTCCTTTTCTAGTAAGGGAACAGCTGAAAGAGCTCACCAAGCAGTATGAGAAATCAGAAAATGATCTCAAAGCCTTGCAGAGTGTTGGGCAGGTACGTAAGAGAAACAGGGTCATAGTGTCCTGTGGTCATAGTGTCTTGTGGTGGTGGTTGACAGTGACCTTGCCTGGAAAGTAGCATTT